CTCTGAGGTCATTCTGGCTCCAAGTCAAAGCAAACAGAGGCCCGATTCACAGATGCAGGTCCGGAGGGGAGGGGAGAGAAACAGCAGCCGCTGAGCCGGGCCGGCCCTGTCCCAACCTCTCCCGCCGCCTCTGGCCGCCGTCCAGGCCCCGCGCGCTGGTGGTGGGAGGCCTTTAAAGGACCCGGTGAGACGCGATCTCAGGCTCAGCCGTTTGCAGGAGGAGCGGGGACATCCTCTGCACGCCCGGCCCGGGGCCCCCACTTCCAGCCCCGAGCGGAACCCGCTTTCCCGCGTGCACCTCTCCCCGGTCTGATGACCCTCCTCTCTGCTCATTCCCTGAGCACAGCTCACAACGGAATTACAGCCCAAACAGCCCGGCCTGTGTGGCTCAGTGGTTGGGCATCGACCTATGAACCAGGAGGCCGGGGTTCGAGTCCCGGTCAGGGCACTTAGAGAGCGATCTCTTGGGTGTTAAACATCAGGTGCCTGGACCAGTCTGGACGGCTCTTCCTCTCTCCTGCCGGCACGGCCTACAGGACACACCGAATAAACACCCGTAGCTTTGTTCTAAGCAGGTGGGAGCTTCGCCCTGCTGCTGTGTGGTCCCGGGACACCTCCCCCACCCCTCCCGTTAAAAACAAATAAAAACAGAAACAGCCCCCACCCCCACCGCCAATCAAACACCATCTGTCTTCGCCCGGTCCAGGCCCCCATCTGCTGCAGCCAAGTGCCGGCTGTCAGCCCCTGGACCTCCTGGCTGCTGGGAACGGGGACAGGCCGACACGCGGCCGCTCCCTCCCGCCCCGTAAACGCCCCGAAACCCGAGGACTGAATGCAGGTCTCATTCCAGGGGTGCTCTTGCCCAGCCCTGGCCTGCACTCTGGTTTATGCAAATGGGCTTACGTCGCCCTGTGTATCAGGGGCCTCTGAGCTGCAGAAACCCTCAGAGGCGGCGAGAAGATGTGGGAGAAATAAAGGCCTGCATTCCCCGCCCCCAGGAGTCTTGCTTCTAAGGAAAAGAAGGCCACATAAACATCAAAAGATAACAGGTCGTGCCGGGCTGGTGTGGCTCAGGGGTTGAGCGTCGACCTATGAACCAGGAGGTCAAGGTTCGATTCCCGGTCAGGGCACAGGCCCGGGTTGCGGGCTCCATCCCCAGTGTGGCATGTGCAGGAGGCAGCCCATCCATGATTCTCATCATTGATGTTTCTCTCTCTCTCTCCCTCTCCCTTCCTCTTTGAAATAAAAAATAAATAAAAATAAATGTTTAACCAAATATAGCAGGCTAATTAAAAAAATATATCTATATAAAAGGAAAGATATTAAGTGGTGACATACATGCAGAAAAGCAAACTCACCCAGGTGAACCATCCGCCCAGTCTGGGGTCATGGGGTCATGGGGGTCATTGAATGTGACCAGGGGACTCGGGGGAACTTTGTGGAGGAGAAATCCATCCCAGGTCATAAACCGAGGTCATAGGTTGTCGGATTCTGGACATTCCGGTCAGTAAAGGCATGTCCTCAGGCGTAGGCGTCCCGAAAGCAGGCCGCCTGGGAGCTGGGTGTGGAGACGTTACATCCGTGAACAGGAGCCGCGAGGAAGGACCTAGCCCTGTGGACCGTGGCGCCCATTCACAGTCTGTCCGCTATCACACACGTACCGGCGCCCGCTGGGACCCTGTCCCCTGTGCCCCTCCTTGCCGAGGAGCTGGCCAGCTATGCCAAACAGCCGGGACCCCGGCGAGGACACCCTCATTCGAACCAGAGGGTTGTGAGACCAAGTGAAGGAACGTGTCTAGGACCATAGAGGCTGGAAGGGAAACACACAGAAAATATCAAGGCTTAGGAGGGTTTTGTTTAGGGGAAAGAAAAAAAAAATGACATAAAACTTGTAGAATTTTGGCCTCATTGTTGAGTGATTTTTTAAGTCCAGCCAAAAAAGTGAGTATCGAGCCCATAGCCTGCTGCAGTAAAACGTCAGCGTTTGTTGATGAAAGCCATTCTTCTCCATCAAGTTCAACAACATCTGTTCAGCCAACCCCTGGGCACCATAGAGTTCAAAACAAACACGAATCCCCGGAAATGGTCAGAGATCCCACAGGCTTTCCGACCACCCAACTTCCCCTTCTAGTTCTTCTAACAGGCAAGAAAGCAAAGGAGCCCGGCTGGCGTGGCTCAGTGGTTGAGCGTCGACCTAGGAACCAGGAGGTCAGGGTTCGATTCCCGGTCAGGGCACATGCCCGGGTTGCAGGCTCCATCCCCAGTGTGGGGCGTGCAGGAGGCAGCCGATCCATGATGCTCTCTCGTCATGGATGTTTCTATCTCTCTTTCCCCTCTCCCTTCCTCTCTGAAATCAATAAAAAAAAAAAAAAAGTGTTTAAAAATATATTTAAGAAATAAATAAAAAGCAAAGGAAACAAAGGCAGTAGCTGCTGGCGGGCCGAAGCGCCAGCTCTCAGGGCTGGAGCCTGGCATTGAGCATTCAGACTAACCACGTGGTCCGTAGTCCATGGCATTTGTGAAATAGCCTGGACTCTTCTCCCCAAAGCCCTCCCCGCTGGCTTCCTATCGCTTTCGGTCGCACAGGAATGCCTCTCCCCTGGGCTGCGCGGGCACAGGTGCCCAGGCCACGCCGCCAGCACAGGCGTCTGCCAGAGGAGTGGGCCCTCCGGTGGCAAGGCAGCTTCTCTCTCTTTCTCCCACCCTCACAGGCCTCTGGGTCAAGGCCACTCGCTGCCTCTCGTCCACCCTGGGCCGCCGTGTTCTGAGACAGGCCGGCCGAGAAGCAACATGCTTACAACCGTCCCCTCCCGGGCTCCCCGAGCTCGAGCAACGCGAGAAAATACAACAATGTTTGAGCAGGCGATCCAGCCAACGGGGGTCCTGGGACTTTTATATTCGGGCGCCAGGACTAATCCTGGCTAAGGGAGCACAGGGTGGAACAATATTTAGCCAGGGAGACTGCTGAGAGGTGCTCGTGTGTGGTCCTCGTGTATTGGAAGGGCTTGAAGGACCGGCTGCTGATGATGATTCTCAGGCTCTTTGCCGGCCTGGGCTGGGGGAGGGAATGTTTATCTTCCGCGGAACAATCCCCGAGGCCTTCCAAGAGCAACCCCATTACTGCGTCCCCAGCGCCAGGAGCCGGGCGGCGCGTTTGTGGGGCTCTCTCGGGCGCTGGCTTTGGAACAGGCTCACCGAGGTTCCCCAAACAACACATTATTTTTATTCGGAGAGCTGTGGGCTTGGCGACTTCTTCTCCATCATCTGCCAAGTTTCTGAGCCTCCTCCCTGAACCTGAGAGCGAGGCAGGCCGGGAGGGACCGGGAGGGGCCGGGAGGGGCCTGGAGGGGCCTTAGCCTGCCGCTCACCCGGCCACGGTTCCTGCGGATGGAGGAGGAGGTCAAGTTCACTATGAGCTCTTGGGCTGCCACGGAGGAGCCACCGAACAGACCAGGACCGTGTCCTGGAGTCCCACTTGTCGAGCAGCGTCCGGCCACAGTGGCCCCGAACTTGGAGCTGGCCGGGAGGAGGCTATGCTGATATCAGGCAAAGCAGGCCACAGAGCAAACGAGGTGAGCGGAGACAGGGAGGGACATGGTAGAACGAGGAAAAGGCCGATCCACCAGGAAGACACTGTGATCCGAAGTGTGAACGCACTAACAGCGGTTCTCAACCTTCCTCATGCCGCGACCCTTTCATACAGTTCCTCCTGTTGTGGGGACCCCCAACCATAAAATTATTTTCGTTGCTACTTCATAACTGTAATTTTGTGTCCTGACCGGGAATTGAACCCAGGACCCCTCAGTCTGCAGGCCGATGCTCTATCCACTGAGCCAAACTGGCTAGGGCTCCACGTACGTATCTTTAGAAAGAGATTTATTTAAAGGCAATCGGCTCGCTCGACTTCGAGGTCTGGTATTGAAGCATCCTAGATTAGAACAGTGACCCAAAGGCTGCAACATCCTTGCGTAGGGTCATCAAACATCCCCGCTATCCAAGTGGAAAGAAAGCTTCAGATGCGGATGGAACACTGCCTCTAAGACCCCCCCAACCCCCCCCTCCCCAGAGGGGGCTGCCGGGGACAGAGTCCCTCCCGTTGCAGGGCAGGCCCGGGCCTGGGTTTTGTGACCAGCTCCTATCTGGCCCGAGATCAGATGTTTACAGCTCCAGTCGTGAGCAGTGACACTCCCCAGCAGGCTCCTGCCGGAAATGGGCTGTTAAGTTCCAGGCAGCTCGGGTCAATGGGACGGAGCATTACTCAATGCCTTTGTTTAAAGATGAGAGAGAACGAGTAAGTGATGTCCTTCATCCAGAAAGATCCCAGAACACGGATGCAAAGGGCCTGCAGAGCCGTCCCGGCCAAGCACGGAGGCAAGCCCGCCCCGTTATGTCCACTCTGGGGTGGACTTTGGGGTCTGAACCATCTGTGGCCTGAAATGCCCATCTCTGTCGTGTCCGTGGGCCAGCACACTTAAAGAAATAGGAGACCCAAGGTGAGGAAACTCGACAAAAGGAACAGCAATTCTAAAAGGTTTACTTGTGTGCTCAGTGGTTAGAGCACCGGCCATTGGACTGAGGAGTCCCGCGTTTGACTCTGGTCCAGGGCACGTGCCCAGGTTGTGGGCTCGATCCCCAATCGGGCCACATACGGGAGGGAGGCGTGGATGTGTCTCTCTCACGTCGATGTTTCTCTCTCTCTCTCTCTGACTCTCCCCCTCCCTTCCATGCTCTCTAAAAATCAATGGGAAAAAATACACTCGGGTGAGGATTAACAAAGAATAAAAAAACAACGAAAAGCATCCACTGGCAACAGAATGTTCACTTAGGAAAAGTATTTTTTTAATATATTTTATTGATTTTTTACAGAGAGGAAGGGAGAGGGATAGAGAGTCAGAAACATCGATGAGAGAGAAACATCGATCAGCTGCCTCCTGCACACTTCCCACTGGGGATGTGCCCACAACCAAGGTACATGCCCTTGACTGGAATCGAACCTGGGACCCTTCAGTCCACAGGCTGACGCTCTATCCACTGAGCCAAACCGGTTAGGGCAGCAAAAGTATTTTTAAGTGACCCCACCCCAGAGAGTAACGAGGTAACCCCAGGGCACTGACTGAACGAGGAAAAAGCTGAGGATTGGATGGACTAGAATATTCGAGGCCCTAACCTGGTCTCAGGCTGCAACCAACACAGACGTACCCACTCCCCCGTCTTTGGTCCCCTGGCTTACGGTCCCATCGCTCCAGCATTGATCACCTGGGTTGTCATGACTCAGTCATCGGATCATTATGGTCATCACTGGCCATCCTTGGCTGGCTGTATTTCAATTCCTTAGCTATTGTCTGTCTGTCTCCCCAACACGTGGATTCTTGGAGGGTGAACACTATTTCCTTTCTTTTCCTTTTTTTATTGATTTCAGAGAGGAAGGGAGCAGGAGAGAGAGAGACAGAAACATCAGTGATGAGAGAGAATCATGGATCGGCTGCCTCCTGCATGCCCCACAGTGGGGATCGAGCCCACAACCCGGGCACATGCCCTGACCAGGAATTGAACCTCGACCTCCTGGTTCATAGGCCGATGCCTAACCACTGAGCAACCCCGGCTGGGCAGCCACCTCAGTGCTTTTGCTCTGTCCCTGTGACCTCTGGCCTGAAGCACTTTGAAGACCTCCCGAGGGAACTCAGAGTCTACAGCTCCCCCCACATCCATCGCTCCCCACATGCCCCCAACATTCGGATCTGCCCTAAAACCATCGACAGTCTCCTGTTGCCTCCCAAACAAACTCTGAGCTCCTACGTAGGACACCCTTTTCCACCTGCACATTCTAGCTCGCCTTTCAGAACTCGGCTTCAATGCCATGTCCGTGTGGGATCCTTCCCGGGGTGTCTTCCGGCCAGTCCCCCTTGGTCACGTACCCCAGTGTTCGGCGAGACCCCTTCCCACATCCACACACCCCGCTGAGCACACCAGTGGGAGCCACGGGAAGTGGCGGTGGATTTGTAAGTCGCGGGAACAGTGCACAAGTAGGGAGGAGACAGCTCTGTGGGGAGAGGGGGGGAGTGGAGGGGGGAAATGTGAGGGGACAGGCAGGGGTATAGACATGCGAGCTGACCTTCATGCACCTCCCTCCCCTTAGGGGGAAAGGAATGGGAGAAAATGCAATGCTTTCCTCTCCTCCACCCCCACCCTTCGTCTACGGGCCAGGACGGGGCGAGCTACCTCACCTCTTAGGAATTAGATCTCTCAAGGGGCCCCCGAACTTGGGAGCATTTCTGAGTTCTTGTCCGCAATGACTCATCCGGGCTCCGGGACGGTCGAAAGTCCGCCGTGCCGAATGCTCATTCGCTGACCTTTTGAGCTCTGAAATGAATGGCAATACATCATCATTCCTACGGAGGGGATCCCCCAACGTCTCTGTCGCTACACACACAGGCACAAACCCCCAAGGAATTCTGGGAGCAGTGGGGAGTGGGATCAGAGGTCTCCTTGTCTCTGGGAGGAGCGTCTTCTTTCTCGGAAGCATAGGCTGGGTTCAGGGTTACTAATCGTCCTCTCGTTTTCCTCTTCTGGAGACATCGGTCTTTGTGTTTTTGTTATTTTAAAAATATATATATTTTATTGATTTTTTACAGAGAGGAAGGGAGAGGGATAGAGAGTTAGAAACATCGATGAGAGAGAAACATCCAT